TGTTAAATCCGGTGAGGAGTTTACTTTCAGAACCTGTTGCCTGACTGTAATGGGAATACAAATGAGGAATGTGGAATTTTTCCATACTCAAAGAGTGGAGGTAGGATTTTTTTTGACGAAAATGATTAACCTGGTCGAGATTCATGTTTGGCAGACCTGACCTGCAAAAATTTCTGTCCTACAAGATTACGAGAGCATTTACCGAGAACAATTTGCTGACCTGCAAAATAGTTATTCCCCAAATTTTCACATTGAAAATATTTTCCTTTTTGTTGATCAATCCCTCAAAACTTTTTACACATTATGTGGCTCATTTCCATCCTGTAAGTACTCACATATTTGACACGTGCTTCAGAACCTTATCTCTGCAGAAATTTTGTGTTTTTTGACCTCCAGTATTTCTTAACAAAATTCAACCTTCACTATTTTCATTGGTTACGATTTCAGAAAATTACTATCAAAGCATGACCTCTGCTCTGACATCACGATGGTAATCTCTATTAATCGCGGTTTTCTGCACTTTCAGAGAGTTTGGCAACAATGTTATATAACTATCAGTCTAAATCGGTGTTACCGGTAAACAGTTCTTGATTTTAAAATTGAATACTTCATTACCTGAGCATATTGTGAGATTCCAACTGTGGCAATTTTATCATTCACTTCAATCCATTCGTGTTTATCCGTATACAAACGTTCTGAAATAAGATAAAAGCTGTATCCCCATAATGATTGGAACAATAATCAACTTACCTGCGAATGCGCAGTTTGATGTATTGAAAAACCTTGGAATTACTTTACAGGAATGACTAAAAACTGGAGTTGTCTTAACTAGATTTGTCGCACGCACGAAAAAACGTGGAAGAGCCATTTTACAGAATGAAAAATGTTTAGATTTATCACATAGATAGGCGAATTGCACAAGGTTCCCTTTCAGATTCACATGTGCTCGAACACTGATCACTGATCATGAGGCTGACATCTACTGTTCATGGGTGGTAGTTTCTTACTTAAAAGTCGTAAGGTCAAAAAATGATAATTTCTAGATTTGGTGCTGTTATTATCAATTATCACGTAGTATTTGTAAAATTACTGAGATGCTTGAGAATGAAATCAAGGATTAAAATATCAATTACGCACAGTATAATTTGTTAGCGTCATCGATTTCGTCTAATTAGTAAACAAATTAATATTGTTTAACGCCGCGCCTCCCTCAATTTTGCCTCCCCGGGCAATTTCCCGGTTTGCACCCCCTCCCCCTAGATCGGGCGCTGCATAAATGATATGATATATCTTGAATTTACTCATTAATTACTACTCATTAAAGTTACTCATTATTATTAATACTTATTGGAACTAATATTGTTTACATTTATCATGGGTCACAAGCGACTCACGTCTCTAGGACTCCAAAGAATACATTTTACACAATTTCCTCATTAAAATCTAAAAACAGTCTATTTTTCCATCAAAACTTCTGCGAGCTAAGAACTTACGAGGTCTAACTTTTTAACATGTGATTCCTGATACGGGTTGGACGATAGCAAGTGATAATCGATTATCCGGCCTTGCGATTTGAACCACCGGTCCGGTCCGCACAGCGGTCGATTGAGTGAGTGGTGCAAACCAACTACGTCACCATCGACTTCGATTAGATTACAGTTGAATGAAAAAAATCATGGGATGTTGTTGAATTATTCATTCGACAAATTTCTTCTACCAAGTGGATAATGATTCTATCGCTGAAATGAAACCTGAAAATGCACTCACGATAGCCTTGTTATGACACTTCAATGGTATTTAGAAACAGCTCTTTTGGTCAGATATTGATTTTTATCAGCAATTATCCGATTTCTCAAATCTTTCACATCTTTCACTGAAGTAGTATAAACTAATGACATTAGGTGGCCCCTATTACTTGGTAGGTGCAGTGTAGTACGTTACAAAATTGTTATTGTCGAAATTTTTTTTCATCCTGTATCTTCGAAATAAAGCGCCCAATCAAAAATCATTAAAGAACAAAATATCCTTAGAATAGTCCAAAGATAGTCCGTTATTTTTTTGCCGCATGTTCAATAAACACCCTGTATACTGGAAGCTCGCAGGGAATCAACTGTAGCCGAATGCCAGAAGGATCTGAACTGAAGAAGACAATTTGAAACAGAAGAAAAATTGAAAACAGGAAAGTTATTTCGTCGTCAACTTCAGAAGAAGTAAGTAGTTTGGAATGGAATCTGTTTTTTCCACCAATAATTGTGGTCAGAGGGCACACTAATTTTCATTTGGTACTAATTCTAGATGAACGTGATTGTTTTCTTAATGAAATACAATTCAGTTTCAAAGACACTTGTTACAAACTATGATACGGAATATGATAATAGATTTATCAGATATTGCTCATTTGAGAAACGGTAATAGGTTCCTCATGAAGCAATTCTTAATATTGATAATTTATCGGTGGAACTTCATTTACTTGCTACCAATAAATAACCTATGGGTGAAGTATGAAATCATCCACTAGTAGAAAAAAAACTTCATGTCTCTGGTAGAAAATCGATGACCATAAAACCGATATATTTTTTTCTGGAAACAATTAGTCCCAGATCAAAATTTGAAAATATTATGCAACAGTGAAGTGGCCGACAACGTGTTTTCGTATGAAATGTTTTTCTCAAGAGTTTCTACTTAATTTGTGCTTTATATAATAACAATTTGAATCATAGGTATACTTACCTACGTCATGACCTGCTAAATTAATTTTCACCTGAATTTGGAATACTGTATTGTAGAGTAGGGAGGGTGAGTGTAAGCCCACGCACTTAGGCCACATATGTGACCCATCGAATTTGGAATAAATATCATTACTTGTGATGCACTGTTTGGAATCATTGGTGTAGTAATGAATATCATCGGGAGTTTTTCCCAACACCAATTCGTTATTTTAACACCTCGACACGTGTTACAATCACCAAGTGGTCATCTTCAAGAGGAAGTTCAAACTGGTTTTCCTCTTGAAGATGATCACTTGGTGATCATCACCAACTCATCAATTGGACATGCGTAGTAAACTAATCACCAATCACACCAGAAATCAGATTCAGAGGACAGAAAGAATTCAATTCAATTTGGTCATACAGTAGATTTTCAGAATTCTCAATTCTTATAATTTCTAATTATTTCAAAAGATCAATTATCAAACCTTTCTTTCTCCAGTGAATATGTTATAGACATGGTTGAACACATGGCCCTCCTTTGAAAGATGGTTTGCGAATGTAGAATTGGTCTTCATATTGGTCTACTTCTATGTTCTTTTATTCATTGGGAAAAGTTCTCCCCGTTTGACCGATATGAAATTTGGACCAAAAACCACAAGCAATTAGCCTAAATTATTATTTCTTGGACGAGGTAACCCGTGTCCCACGTGGTGAGCAGGTGAGGACACATGTTAGTGTCCCACCGATCCCACTCCAACAATGCCGTTGAAGTAGGTTTGCTGGGTTATACAATTATTATCCATAGCTCAGTTTCTGCCCCAGATTTTTCAAAAACATTCAATTTGTACAAATTTTTCTCTTTTTCGTCAAAAGTTACAGCAGCGGCGCATTTGTCTCGCTTTTGTCAATCAATATTTTTCTTGCGCGATTTTTTCAAATCGTAAATAAGTTATTGAGACTAATGAGTGGGATAAGACGACCCCAGCGGGAGTTTGTGAATGAAATAACGACACCAAGAGAGTTTCTCAATTTTTTATTTAAATAAAAACGCCAAACAGTATATACCTACGCAATACGTAGTTAATAAATAATTGGAATGTTTCAAATATAGTACATACAACTCTTTCTTATCATTTAGAATATTTAATAGTGAGCAATAGTCGCTCGCAGTGCGGGTGGGGGCCCGCTCGTAGCCCGAGCCCTCCATTAGGCACCGAGCGAACCCCGCCCCAACGAGCCCGCCGTCACTGACACTAGCAAGCTCTGGCTCCGTCTGTCTGTCAGTCATGGCTACTGTGAGGCCTCTGAGATGGTTCGCAGAACACCATAATTGATTTTTCTAAAGAAGCTGATGATGGTAGGTGCAATCAGAAACTTAAGGATAATCATCAGAGCAAAGGTGAAATATTTCTTTTGGAAAATAACTTCCATCAGATAGGATTCATCTTTTTTGCAATATTGGCCATTATTGTTTGGCCAATATTTTTCAACAAAAAACACCAATCCAACCAATCACTATTTAACATGGGTGTCGTCTTGAGTGCTTAAATTTTTGTTAATGTTTTGTAAATGTCCTTCAGTATATTGTTATTATTTTAGAATAGAACGGTAAAAAAATTAGCCAAAGATCAACTGGCTGACAAATTACTAAGAAGATCCATCAATGTGTTGAAATCTTTCTTCACTTGGGAACAGTCTATATATCCCAATTAGTTGAATATGATATTTTCAGGTTCCTCCAAAATGTTTTCCTGAAAAAAAAGGTTGTGGTTTTGTATGTCACCAGCGGTTGGGCACAATTTCATTTGCCAACGTTTCGGCGATGGATTGTCTCCTTCATTAGGGTCAATTGTTTTGCGAGTAGTGATGTTAGTGCCTTGGATGAATTTGGATTTTACAATTTGGAAGATTATTGTGAATGATTAAAACCACTGGATATTCACTACGAGACATATGAAATACAATTAATCACACATTGAGCACATTAAACGTTGATTAAGATGCTTGTGAAGTTATGTTTACGATGCTCAGTTTCAATATTTCATATACGGCTTTGGGAGAAACTGAATGCTAATCAAATAACCATAATTTTACAAAAATCCTGATCTAATAGTTTCAGTCGAACACCATATCCTTCAAAAGGCGAACGATTTCATGATTTTTTATGAAAAAATCCCAATTTATTGGAGACATGAAATTACTAGCGGCTAAATTAATTGGCTCAGAGGAAGGTGATAATCTATAGCCAAAACATTGGCAAATGAAAATGTGAAATTCAAAGCCAATTCACAAGTATCTATTCATTATTCGTCAACAAGAGTCTTCAAAAATGGAAAAATGTAAGTAGACGGTGAAAATTATTATCTGATTTCATTTTTATGATTCGTTTAACTTCAAGGGTACAATTTTGTTTAATGCCGTTTGACAGAAAATTCAAATGAAACTCATTTCTGAAAAATATAAACTTCTCATGAAAAATTCATTGTAGATGACTCAAAATAACCATTGTTGTTTTAACTACTTTTCCAGTGATGGTTTCAACTTTGCAATGAATGATTTCCTTCATTTCCAAGAAGCACTTGATCCCTTTTTACCTCATTCCTGTCTACGTTACTGAATGCAGCCGATGATAATTCGATCGTATCAAAACGAAATTGTGAAATGATAGAGGCATGGAATTTTTTTATGCATTATGGTGTTCCACTAATACACTGATGACCAAAATATCGTTAAGTTAGTGACGAGTCTTTTGATTCGAAAATAATCGGTTTCATGTTTTCCTTTGTTCATTCAAATTGAAACTATATATCAGAAAAGTATTACAGTCCATTTCACTATATAGATATTTATGATTTTGATTCACTGTATTTTTCTAGCTGAAGAATTATTAAAATTTCACTAAAATGTAAATTGAGAAAAGATTCTTCAGAAAAAATGTTTATTTGAACCATTCACACAGAGATGAAAAATCATGAAAAAATATTGTTGTCATTACTTCCACTCTCGATACCAAAGTCTAATTCTAAGAAAACATTTTTTTGTGTGCCCAAAAGGTAATCTGAACATCTCCTTCAGGATATGAATTATTTTGAAATTTTGGTGTTTGTCAAATTTAAATCAAAAACATATTTTTCAATAATATCGTCATAAAATCAATAACTTTCTGTTGACAGTGTTCAATTCCTTGCCAAAATATACATGTCAAGAAACGAAAGTATCATGTTTACATGGAATGAATAATTATAGGGACCTCCCAAAGCGACAACAACCAACACTGTTTTTCAATCTACAAATTTCAAACCGTGAAACTGATACTTATCAAGAAGGGATCAATTTACATTGACAAATTCAAAGGAAAAGTTAACACTGACATTTGTTGATTTTTA